ATGCAGCTTTTCTGCCCTCCAGATGTTAAAGGAAAATACTTTACTCTGTAAGTGTGGGCTGTATACTGTGAAGCCATCCTAAAGAGTACAAGGCAACAAACACAGAGCAGGTAGGAAAGCAACAACACAGTGACAACAGTGATGGCATTGCTAGGTGACCTCCCCAGAACAGATTGTCCATATTCATCTGGAGAAAAACATCAGATAAATTCTAAAAGGGGAAATCCTACAATATTCAGGACCTACAAGCTTCTAAGACAGCAAGATCATCATAACAAGGAAAGTTTGATAAACTAGGACTGCCAAGGGAAGCTAAAAAGCTGTGCCCAAACAATACAGTATTGTGGAACCAAGAAAGGCCATCTAGGTTAAAAAATGAAGGTGTCACGTAGCAAATTCCATCTGTATGAAATCTTGTACCTTGGGGAGAAGCTCATGATGCAGGATGTCCCTGAGGGTGTGTGTGTGTGTGAAACATTCTACCCTGCAGGGATGCTCCTTACCCTCACAAAGCAAAACAACTCAAAGGCTTCAGGAATCCCCTGAAACTGACCAGGTTTAGTAGGATTCTCCCTCTCCAAGTGTATATAAGCAGAAAGAACTGCTGAGACATTCTTGATATGCTAAATACCTAAAACATTCAGACCAGCAAAGCTGATATGAAAGGCAGAAACCAGCTGAGCTGCCTGGAATAGGCACTCTCCAACCTGTCAAGTTGCTGGCAAACTGCAGATTTGGTGAGCTGACACCCATACTATGGAGGGGTTTTGTGATGCAGCTGTCTTTGAGTGATTTATGCTCCTGTAAGTAACCCACCACCCACATTCCTGTAACTAGTAACAAACTCACTGGTTCTTCAAGTTGGATTTTGGTGGTACATGTATTTTGGTCTATTAGCTGTTTCCTAACTGGAGGAGCAGTCATTTGCTCATATCTCCCAAGAAAAGTGCCACATACCACTACATGAAGAAATTTGAACAAAGAACATAGTTAATGATAATATGCCAACATGGGTTCCTTAATTATAACAAACACGCCATATACTAATATATACGTTACAGGAAATTTGGCATCTGGAATCTGAGAATGCTTTGTGCATATATTCACAATGTTCTTGTAAACTTAAAACTATTTCCAAGTGCTTATTTGAAATTATAATTGAATTAATAGAACATCCTTATAAATAATTTATGAAATATCATGAACTTTTAATAATGTAGGGAACTTCTTTCTCAGATCCACTAAGTTAGACGAGGTTCGAGTTCTCCAGACAGCTACACGTATTCATCACCTCAGTCAGACTGCCCATGCCCCCTTTTCATTCTGGCCACCAGGAAGCTGACAAACAAATCTATCAAAATTATAAAGAAACAGAACTTTTACAACATTTGCAGCATCGACTTGGTCACTGTATTAGTATTTTCATTTTATTCTGATTTTTTTTAATAATTCAATCACTGTTTGGTTGTTTCTCTTTGTGTTGATGTTTGTTTTCTTTTGTGCTGTGCATTGATCCAGTGGCTGAAGGCTATACATATAGCCCTGTTTTTATTTAGTTTACTAAAAGTCACCTCAAATCTTTGTAGAGGACATCTATATACAAATATATATTGCATATGAATATGTTTTTGTCTGATTATGAACAATTTTATTATTCACATTTCTGACTAACCACTTCTCACGATCTGAACAGTTACCCACTCAGCGGCTAGAATGTGGCAAATTACTAACACATTAAATTTCAATTCTTAAATTGCAAAATAGTACTAACACCACCTGCTCTAACAGATGGCTGTTGAGTACCAATGGAGTTAACATTTGTCAATATGATTACTGTAGATAAAAGAAAGGATAATCATTTATTATCATCAATTATTATTATTAAAGTAGCAGTAACTCTTTTCATTAATACAGTAGATATTGTTGACATGAATTACAAATCAATCAGAGGCCCAGTATTGATTTTCTCAGTGCATTTTGAATGAAAACAACAAAATTCCATTTTTTTTCAGGGGGAGGAGGAAGAAGGAAGCAGGACTTTCTTACACTGTTATTGCCAAAAACAAGCTTGTAACCTTTAGACCAGGTGAAATTCAATCCCTTGTTAGCCTGAAATAACAAAAAAGAAAAACACCCTCTAGCTTTATTGGCACTCACTTCATCAAAGTCACCCAAAACAAGCACATGAAAGAGCCAAATGAACACCAAACCTGAACCTCTCCTTGACTTGTTGGGTGCCAAGTTCCTGTTCTGTTGCCCAGAGTTCTTTGACACATTCCATTTCAGGGCTGATCTCCCTTATTCTGGGAGGTGGGACAGACAGTAGGGACTTTTTGTTTGCAAGTGCCTTAGTATTTAATAGTACACAGTGTATACTAAATCCACAGTATCTAATTGTCACTAACTACAGATGAATAAAGCACACTAGGCTGGAGAGACAACTTACTTACTGTAGATGGAACATGGTCAGACCATTGTGACTTCTGTGCATTGTACCAGGAACTTAATGTAAAGACTGTCAGAAAGAGGGAACTAGACAGCCAATTATTATAAAACTAACAAGTCAGAATCTGACAGGATCTGGATCTAGCATAATACTCTGTCTCAACAAATAAAAATGGAGAACCATCAAGGAAAACACTCAACTTTGAAGTTAGACATCCATACAAAGTTACATAAACACACACACACGCACACACACACACACACACACACACACACACACACACACACACACACACATACACACACACACACACACACTTACCACACAGATAATGTAATGAATGATTCAGGTGATTGTCATACCAGAGCTAGTTCAATAAATAGTTCCAATAGAGCTCTCATCAGCTTGCAGAGGAATGTGATTGCAACTTAAAAATACATAGTAAGACTTGAAAAAGAGAAGAGATATGCCCAAAGTTACGCAACTATTGAGAAGCAGACATCCCAGTGACCATAGTGTGGGCAAGCATGCTATTTGGTGAGGTTCATTTTAGTCAAGGCTAGCCTCCAAAAGCCCATATGTTGGTATCAGAATGTAGGAGGAGATAGCAGGAAATGAGTATTGCTCAACATCCAAGTCATTGGGAAGAACCAGTGAGAAATTCAAAGAGAAAGTGAGAGGAGAAAAGATGGAGGGAGGCAGGGAGAAACAGGGAGGAAGGAGGAGAAGGAAGAAGACAAAAAGGGGGAGGTGGCAGCAGCAAGCAGTGGTGCCAGATGCTACTCCATCTTGGTTTCATTTTCAGGCCTGAAAAAACACAACTTATTAGCAATGCTTTGATTAATAGATCTATTTGCTTAAAATAGCATAACATGTTGGTCATTACTACATAAAAGCAGAAAGACTGACTAAGGAAAGGTCCTCTCAGAAATGGCTTTAGGTGATGCCAAACCCCAAACAAACAAAAACAATGCTGAGGATGAGAACTTAACCCACACACTGCCCTCCATAGCGTACTCTAATGTGACAAGTTGCACTGTCCAGGGCAAATTGCAAGTCTCCAGCCTTCTCTCTTAGGCAAGGTGGAGAACTGAGGATTGCCAAGGTCATCCTCATATGTACATGGACCCGTTCCACCCTGAGGGATCTCTGGCTAAGGATCCTTTCACGTGGTGGCAGAGAGAGGATGACATGAAGAAATAAGTACTTGTGGAATGCATCCTTTGTTATCTCTTTCTGGGAGCCCGTGTGCCAAACTATCACTCTTATCAGCTAACCCCAAGGAAGGTCCCAACCCCACCAAGTGGGACAGGCAGAAGAGGAACTCTCACTACTCTCTGCTCTTCCCAAGCTTAACTAAGGAAACTAGGAGGTTCTATATCCCTCTGAAGGTGCTGGCCTTTAGATACAACACCTGCCTACCCAATCCATCCAGGAGCATCTGTTTCAACTTATACAGCCTTATCTGTCCTTGTCAACTGCTTCTTGTCTTCAGAGGTTGCAAGATGCAGATCCTGATTCCTTCTCATCAGAAGACCCATAATTTTCACACATCCCTTTGATATTGTACACACCATGTGAAGATGCATTGCTATGATTGGTTTAATAAAAAGTTGAGCAGTCAATAGCTAGGCAGGAGAGGTGAGGCAGGGCTTCTGGGCAAAGAGAGGACCTCAAAGGACTCCAGCAAGACTTGGATGGAATAAGTCGGACTTACAGAATGGGAGAGAGGTAAAAAGACACATGGCAGAAGGTAGATTAATAAAAACAGGTTAATTTAAGTTATAAGAGCTAGTTGGGAACAAGCCTAAGCTAAAGGCCAAGCTTCCATAATTAATAATAAGACTCCATGTCATTATTTGGGGGATGGTAGTCCCAAAAGAAATTCCAACAAAAAAGTCTAATCACACTTTGAAGATGAGGTCAAAATAACCATCACTTTGCCATACTGACGTTTTACACCTAGCCCTATCGTCTTACCCACACACAGCAAGCAGCCACAACTTCACACTCAATGAGTATTTTGTAAAAGTACTCTCATGTGGCACATAGTTTATTTTTAACATTTGTAAGTTACTCAAATGTTACCGCTGACTTGCCATAGGTAGTGCTGTAGTTTGGGGTAATCTAGTACATTTCCATAAAAAGTGACCTAAGTTCATAATACATATACTCAGCTAACATTCACCTCCTTGCACGTATTTCCTAACCTAATTTCTGAAGCATATTTTTTCTCTCCTTAATTTGTCACTTAGAAGACACCTTCAGAAAGAATTGTAGTAACCTCTGAATTTTAACATCTCTTTCAAAGGTGTCCAATTTTAATGAATGGCATTCACCTTGGATACTCACATTCCCAGCAAGACAGTGAACAATGGTACTTGAGCATATGCACGGAGGCAGAAGATAGATTCAAGATGTTTCAAGTATGCAAAAATCACATGCAGATGTAAAAACAGTATGTCCAGTCAAGGGGAGTTAAGAAAGCAATATATATAGAGAGACACCCAGGATTGGAAGAACACAAATAAGATCCAACCTGTAATTAACATACCGTGCTGTGACACCTGTTGCCTTCCATGATAAGAAGTCTGGGAGATCAAAGAAATGTCCCGCCTTGTCCCAGCAAGTCTCTCTCAAGTTCTGCCAAATTAAATATATATTAGAATCAATTATGAGGGTTTTTTTTTCCCCAACTCCTCTCCTCTTTCAAAAATGTTTCAAATTTTTCAAAACAAAAATAGAGCCAACAATGTTCATGAAAACATCTGTTAAGGGCTTGGGGGAGTGTGGTATAAAAGTAGTATTTATATAGGAAAGAAAACATAGCAATTACTGATCCTTCTAAAAATAATCTAATTTTCCTTTTGTCCCCTTTTGCAAACTGGACAGAGAAAATGCATAGGCTGTGGATATAGAAACCAGTCTCTTGGTAATGGTAAGAGGATGTGCACCCAACAGTAAGAAGTTAAACAGCTCTGCACTGGAGAGAAAGTGTACTAAGAACTCAAGGAATCTAAATGTGCCTTGCTATGGGAATTCCCCACATGCCAACTGATACCAAAGGCAACTCAAAGAAGTTGCAACCTAAGACAATGCTCATTCAAATCAAGCAACTGTTGAAACAGTTTTAGACATTTATTTTATTCCATACTGCCAAGTAGCCAGAGTGTCTTCTTGTTGCTGAGCTTTTCTTTCCCCTAACCAATGTGTCTGGACAATTCAGTCCTCATTTACCACTCTGAGCCTTCACAGGACCCATATCCTCCTTCCTTTGGGTTAACCCTACAACCAATCTCCAGGTAAGTTTCCAAGACATCCTACTCAAGGTTATGACTGCTTCCACACTCCGCTCTACACACATGGTTACTAGAGTAACATCCTTCATTTCTCCTGCTGCTCTGGGAGCTCTGTGAGCCCAATGGTTTTATCTGCCTTGGTCACCATGACATCTCTCCTCCTGCAGACTGAATGGACTTCCAGCTGCTGAATGGACATTTCTATAACTCTAGTCCCCTCATGACAAGCATTTGATAAAACCGGCAATAGACATGTGACTTAGCCAAGCCAAAGCACATTTCTTCTCCCAGGATTTTAAAATTAAGGTTGAAATGAAGTTACTCATGTTCTGCTTGTAAGCAGAACTAGATATGTGGTAAGTTGGAAATGATGAAGCAGCTACTTTCTGCAAAGCATCCAGAGGCAGACTATAAAAATGACAGAAGACAGAGCAAGAAAGACTACCTGTCAATCAACTTGCTATGTCTTCTTGCTTTTAATTATTCTTTGTTACAAGATACTTAAAAGGGGAATTAATCGTAGGCTCAGGGTATTTAGGGAATCTAAAGGGAATGAGGCAGCTTCAAATGAACATATTGTCCTGTGTGGTGCAACAAAAATCTACTGAACTACTAGATAGATTGCTTAATTTCCCTTTCCTGTCATTCTCTGTCACAGTGCCTGTTAGGTTACTATGGGCTTTGCACCTGTATGACTTGCCTTCTTTGAGCATTACACAAGTGCTAGAAGTTATTACATCAATTTTATAGTCATGTATCTTGCTTTTAAATATTTTTATCCTAAAATTCTGGGGTTTTACTACTTATTGGAATCCATGTCAAAGCACTATCTCAAGTACAGGTCTCCATTACAATAAAGGCATCAAAAGCTCAGATATAAAAGCCACAGTGTTACAACCATTGTTACTGTATATGTGAAAGCCTCTGTTGAGGAAGAAATGGTTCCTAAATTTCTCTTTACCTATCCATATATCTTAACATTGATGAAAGTAAAACTTAGCATTTACAAAATATGCCTAACGCAGCTATGAACTTTTATAACCCTGTATACTTAACAAGTCACAACCAGAAAGTAGTGGCCTTTGAAATTATATGAGTCAAACTACCAGTATGCCTTTTGGACAGTCTCAAAAACCTATGTGCTTTGTGGTTGCAACAGTTGGTGGTCAGGGAAAAGGCAGTCTCCTTCCTTAGTTCCAACAATGCAAGGCCAGTCACCATGCATCAACTGCCAAACCACTACAGATCAACCACTACTTCTAGTCGAAGCCAAACAACCACCCTGAGCTGAAAAAACAACTGCTTCTGTTAGATTTTATATAGGGTTACTAATGACCTTACATGATGACAGTCTTTGCCCGGAGCTACACCAATAGCTGCTGTACAAAGATATCCAAGTAGAACATCTCTAAGAGAGCTTCAAGGCTTTTGGTAATGTCCTGGGGGTAGGAGAATTTCCTTCTGAGGTCATATCAGTTTTGTGGATCAAAGCCAGAGATGCCAGTCATCCTCTACAAAGCATCAGGCATTTTTACCAGTAACATCATACAGACTGTGCAGGTTTTACTGAAGTATTTAGGAATATATGTAAACACATATGTATGTAAAACCACTTAATGAAAACAAATAAGCCATGAATTCAAAAGAAAGCAATGAAAACTATATGGGAGGGTTTGAAGGAAGGAAAATATAAGGGAAAAATTATGTGATTACATTATACTCTCAAAAAGTAAATGAAATTTTTAAAAGAATGCAATCCTAATATCTAACAAAATAGACTTTAAATCAATTAAAAGAGATGAAGGAGGTCACTTCCTACTCATCACAGGAGAAATCCATCAGGATGAAGTCTCAATTCTTTACATCTATGCCCCAAATACAAAGGCATCCACTTTCATAAAAGAAACACTATTAAAACTCAAATCACACATAAAACCTCACACACTTATAGTGGGAGACCCTGCTCTCACCACTAGACAGGAACACCAGACAGAAACTCAACAAAGAAACAAAGGAATTAATAGAAGTTATGGCCCAATTAGGTTTAACAGACATCTATAGAACATTCCATCTAAACACAAAAGAATATACCTTCTTTTCAGCACCACATGGAACCTTCTCTAAAATCAACCACATACTTGGCAACATAGCAAACCTCAACAGGTACAAAAAAATTAAAATAACCCGCTGTATCTTATCAGAACACCATGCTTTAAAGTTAGAATTCAATAACAACACAAACTGCAGAAACCCTACAAACTCATGGAAATTGAATAATGTACAATTGCACCATTCTTGGGTCGAGGAGGAAATAAAAAAAGAAATTAAAGATTCCCTAGAATTCAATGAGAATGAGGACACAACATATTCAAACTTATGGGACACCATGAAAGCAGTGCTAAGAGGAAAGTTCATAGCACTAAGTGCCCACATGAAGAAACTAGAGAATATTCACACCAGAGAATTGACAGAACAACTGAAAGCTCTACAACACAAAGAAGCCAACGCACCCCAGAAGAGTAGCCCCAGGAAATAATCAAATTGAGGGCTGAAATCAATAACATAGAAACTAGGAAAACAATACAAAGAATTAATATAACAAAGAGTTGATTTTTCGAGAAAATCAACAAGATAGACAAACCTTTATCCAAACTTAACAAACGGCTGAGAGTGAACATGCAAATTAATAATAGAGTCTTCCTTGTTGCCTAGCTTCTCTGGTGGTGTGGATTGTAGGCTGGTACTCCTTTGCTCTATGTGTAAAATCCACATTTGGGTGAGTGAATACCATATTTGTATTTTTGTGACTGGGTTAGGGTTAGGGGAGCAGAAAGGGCATGGAATATGTAGGGTGTTAGTTGGGGGGGGCAAGGAGGAGGGGTGGCACAGGGAACTGGGATTGACATGTAAAATAATCTTGTTTCTAATTTAAATAAAAAAATGGAGAGAAAGAAAAGAACGCACATGTTCATGGAAAAGAAATGAACACATATTCCCTGTTTTCTCTACAAATGCAAAATCTCTGGACTGGCCAACAAGGGAAGGGGCAAGAGACAGAGATGTGTCCAGAAGCCTGATAATTGTTTGAGAGACTGGCTGGCTCAGAGGTTCTCATAAAATTATCCCATTGAGCTATAGGATTTACAAGGGTTTTGCCATCACTTGCCATATTGGCTCATGAAGATAGATTTTTATCTAGTCTTACATGAAAATTTCTTTAACCTTCATCCTCCCAGCCGAGGACTTACTGAATTAATTATCTTCTTGTGTACATTGAACCTACATCAGGACACAGTGACCATCCTGTTCCCTCCACAATGTACAACAATGTCCCGTATTTTGTTTTTCTTGATTCTTGGAACAATTCAAAGAGGAACAGGCAATATATAATACTCACATCTAAGGATACAGGAACTGAGGGTTAGACTCCAAGAGTTTGTCCCTTAGTCACCCAAAGTATCTGCTCTAATGTGAGTGCTCATTTTTTGCTTTGTGTAGTGGCAGCCATCTTGACTCCTAGCAGAGTTGTGGAATTAAGGCCTTTGGAAATGTCTTGATGCAGATTCTGCCATTCTTTACCCAAGAGGAAAACAACAACAACAGCTATAAACTTTTCCAAAAAAATATTTCAGAGATTCCAATTTCCATCTTGGATGACTTACTTAACTTCTGTGGACTTAACCAAACACATAGGGTGCAAGCGCTTCACACAGGCCTACTTCCCTTGTGTCTCATTATGAGTTATCTTAATCCTGTCCCATAGGAGATTCGGGTACTGAAAGGGTTAAGTCATTCTGTCCTACAGATACTAAGGAACTAACAACAGTTAGTCTTTTCAAGAAACAAAGACTCAGCAGTGATTTGGGGTGTATGACTTGGCACTCAAAGCTCTGCATTCCGGTTACAGTCTTTGAGCAAAGCAATTCATCGGCTTGAAAGCAATCAAGGAGAACAGCTCAACCCTGTCATTTATTACTTCATAAAACCACAGCATTTCTTGGGATGAGGCTACTCCTCAAAGCTCACATAGCTTTGGGTCTCTGCAGAAGGTGGGGTCAGAAAGATTATGCCCAAGATTCAAGACTAGGTGTAGGGAGAGCCTTGAGCAGAGGAGACTCATCCTGACACCACTGTGGTCCCTAGAAGCTGTGGGGTTTCTGTTCCTTCTAGATGCTGAGGAAGATTATGGGGAATGACCAGGCTGCCAAGGCTACATGAGAAAATTGGGCTTAGTTTACTATTAATTGCAAAGAGATTCTGTCTGGGTAACCTGTGGTGTATAGCAAATGACAGGGAGAGACCAGAGCTTCCAAACTTCACATACAATAACGGACCCTGCTTGCA